GGAAAATTGCGGACTTTAAAGTCCCCAAAGCCCTCCGACTTGAGCGGACTTTGGGGACTTTAAAGTCCGGTAAAGTCTCCGTAAGTCCGATCAAATCCGCTCAAGTCTAAAGTCATTTACGAAGAGCCCAAATAAGAAAATTCCACTTTGAGTACGAAGCACTTGGAAGATTCTATTTTGTATACTAACTAAGAAAAACGAAGCCGATCACACGCAGTTACTTCTTCCAAACATTCTTACTTTTTCCTTTGAACAGTAAGTGATGGCAGTGAACAATTTGGAAGCAGCTGAAAATAATCAACAAATTTTGGCGAAACTAAAATTCGAACGTTCAATACCATTCGAAGAAATGAAAAACTTGTATGAACTCCATAGTTATAAACTACGGAAATTTGTCAAACTTGGTGCAATATTGAAAACTGTAGAATTAAGTACAATCCCGGACGAGAGAAAGCTTATTGTTATCGAACAAAGTTTGATAACACAAGATATGCCAGACCGAGTCAAACACGACCTGAAAAATCGAACAACTGCTATTTTATATAGTGAAAGCTATGAACATAAACTTTCATCGTACGCCGGACAACAAGCTTCTGTAGAAAACGGCATCATGCGTATAATAAGGTCGAAAATTCACAATAACCGCCTTATTTGCGCTATTGCGTACGCAGAAGTCATTCAAGAGAAACAACTGAGAGTTCTTCTACTGCTAGATAGAAAGGCACTAAATGAAAATGAAATGAATCGGTTTCTACGCACAGCTTGCGTAAAGGAACTCGCCGACAAGAATTTAGAGTTCATACACATCGATGAACAGTACAGTAAACAACACAACAAAACAGGATGGTGTCAAATCATATAACATTTGAAATGGCCTTTTATACATATAATAGCATGAATATATTTGTGTTAAATTGAATCTTCTCGATCGTTAGAAAATTGGTCACTCGATGAACACGTTACCGAGAAATTTTAGTACTGTGCATGCAATTGGATGAATATGCATAAGGCTTATAAATTGATTTTAACTTTTTTCTAGTGTCGACACTGTTTATATGAGTCTGTGCACCTTCATTCTTAAAGCAACACTCTCATTGGCGCCAGTGATCACCATTGGGTACACTGCTCAACAGTTAGCTTAGCGTGCAGAGCAAAATAACAAAATTCGGCTATTCTATGCATGGTCATCAGTGAAAAGTGCGTCCTTTTCTGCATTTTTCGGCTAGTGATGAGTCAGCATCAAGTATCATTCGGCCAAAACTTCATCAACTCAGATTATCAGAGGGGACTCTTCAATATCTGAATAGCAACATATCTTGGGATATTGAGTGTCGGAAAATGTATCTAATCTAATAACAATTGAATCGAAGAAACCATTGGACGAATAAAAATGGTAGAGCATGGTATTGTTATATTGTCCGACGCTCAAAAGTAGTTTAAATGGCTCGTAATTGAACGGAATTTTTTTTCAATGTACTCAAGCTCATGAAAAACCTGTTCAAGCACAATGACTAAACCCATAGCAACGGTAGTCGTTGGCCATATAATCATATTTCTTGACCTCGATATATTGAAACAGAGTTCAGCAAACTTCAGTGCTGAATAAGCCGAAAACTGAAAGAACTTTAAAACAGGGCATTTTAGAAAAATGGGTTTTTGCCGTTTTTTCGAAAAACTTAGCATAAATGATCTACACGTCCCATTTTTCTCTAGGCATAAATGGTATATTCAACTTAACGACCTTTTGCACACCAGTGACCATATTGTGAATACATCAGTTTGTAGAGAATTGAAAGAGCTTTCTAAATATGTATTGATTTGTTTATATGGTCCTATAATGGCAGAGAAAAGCGCAGGAGAAGGATTTTAATAGTGCTCTGTAATGCTAGCTTTCCAGTGAAGATCTTATCTGGATGGAACGGCTTTAACCACTTGAAAGCACCTAAAATCAAATTTTGATTTTTTGTTTTTTTGATTGTGTTCTGCTTCACACAGGACCATTCTAAGCAAAATTCAATAACTGCGTTACGTTTGATTCAATAGCATCTTATACGTTTAATTCGTAAGAAAAATTTTCAGTTTCAGAGGGGGACGTGTTCACCGAAGGACATATGATCCTGCGGTTTTTCTTACTGGGCATTTATAGCCTGGACATATTATTTGATGAAGAATAATTGATTCTTTTATAACATGTCTGTTCTGCACAGATCTTGGAAAACCAATCGACGATCCAGAAAGTTAAAATATTTGTTTTTTGAAATGATGAAGACTGAATTTCCAAGAATCTGAGCTTTTCATCTGTTGTGATTTAGGTTATAAACAATGCTAATAAGCTCCAATAGCGGAGATCAATAGGCAGTATATTTACAAAAGACAAATATTTTTGGAAAACTGGCTTGGTACATCCTAGCTGTGCGTACTACATACAGCCACATATCTGTATCAGACTTATGTATATGTCTGCAGTCGTATGCGGGAGGGGGGAGGACAGCATGCGAGTGAGCTACAGGACAACATTTCAATACTGCCTGTGTGCAGTTATGCGGTTGTATGCATATCTGTAGATGAAGAAGGATGCGCCGGGTAAGTTTAAAAGAAAACGTTTTATGAAATTTCATCATATGAAACGGTAAAATACAGAAAACATTAACATTGAAAGCTAATGACTGAAAGGCATTTATAAATCACCATGTATTTCAACAATTCGATCAACTGTGTTGGCGCGTGAATCCATCAAATGTAATTGTGGAAATACCGTTTGAAACTCGTGATATAATGCGGATTGCCAATCTCGTCAACAAACAATGAAACCTCGGCATAACTGTGCTGATAATGGATGACTCAACAGAAAAAATCATCTATACACATCAACTTGATTGGCGGTTTAATCAATCAATTCCGTCACTCCACAGTTTATTAAAAAAAACATACACATGATATTGGATCTCCACGTCACCTGACCGGATCTGACCTGACCTTAGCTGAAGTCTAAATTTATACACACATATAAGATGTGTATGTACACTCTCACAGTAATAATTACAATTTCCACATAACCTGACCTGACCTAACCTAGAATGATGTGCAGATATACACACACACACTAGAATGTGTATATGCTATATGCGAATACGAATTACAATTTTCACATAACCTGACGCGATCTAAGCTTGATTAACGTCGAAATACATACGTGGATAGAGGATGCGTGTGCATTTGGAAGGATAGGAACCCTGATAATACATCAAGAGAGAGATAGTTACTGCAAAATCGTGGGCGACTTTCATTTGCATTTCCTAAACATCGGAACGTGCCATGCTCTCAATTGAGAAACTTTCTTTTGTGTTTATGTTTTTTGTTGAGAATGAAACGGCGAATAGCGATTTGCAAGCGCATCGCGAATTGCCATAAAATAGTAAAATTTATTTTATCCTGTCAATTTTTGAAAATTCAGTTTTTTGAGTATTATCCATAAACATCACAAATTATTTGCAATATATTCGTCAGTATTATGGGTCTTTGATAACCAATAATGTATTCTTTTATGGAAAATCACAACTTATATTAAAAAAACTGAATAATTAATTTGATATTCTCAAAGACATGTAAAAGAGAGACCTGTGCCGTTAAAATCGTTCCTTTCTCGACGATTACTTTCGATCAGCAATAAAATCGCCAATTAATCGAAATTTTGACTATAATCGTCCATAAATTGCGATATATCGACAATTTTTAACAACTGGTGATTAATCGACTTGCATGAAAAACCACCGATATATTGCCATTCTTAAAAACATCACAAATTAATTATGATTAATTAGCAAACTTAGTGATTTTTCTGTTTGTCTAATAATGGTCAATTAATTGCGATTAATGGTTGATTTTAGGCCATTAAATGTTTTTTTGTTATACACCGTTTTATTCTGCGGCAGAGTAAACATAGTTAACAACGGAGTTGCCAAGAGTGTTCTCTGTAATTTCCTACGAGCTGACTCATTGTTTCAATTTAAGTCAGCTTTGAACGGAGAAGCCCAGTTAACCGTTAAACTAAAAACTCGCCGATTAATTGCCGCTGTTGACTACATGGGGAATTTGATTCCAAAATTTGCATAGTTCAAATTTCCTTCTAATCACCAGCATTATCGAAAATGCCATTCAGAACTGCTACAGCCAAATTTTGATCGATGAAATCAAGGATAAGAAACGTCATACTCAGTTTTTGGTTTATATTTCACATAAATCTTGGTAAATTATACGCTGGAAACTTCTCATACTGTGCATTTTGTAGCCCTGCCAATTCTCCATCTAATGAGCATTTAGAATGTGGTTATAATGATTCACATCATTGTCGAATATTCGAAATATTCTTTTGAACATAGATGAAATCGTCAAATTTTGAGACATAAAGTTAATTTTTCATATAAATGAACCACATTAAGCCCAATAAACTAGATATTCATGATCAGCACAAAAAACTAAGTCGAACAGAGTAGTTTTTCATTAAAATCGTTTTAATCGAATTCTAAATGATCAATAGAGCTACCAAAAACACAATAATAGAAGAATTCTGTCCTATAATCTATCAAGATTTATTTGAAATTTAAATAAAAAATTGAGTTTTCAAAAAATTGAAAAAGTAAATTTTGCCATTTTATGGTAATTCACTATGTGCTTGCAAGTCATCTCATAAACCAACAATTTCTTAGACCCATTTGCATTGCCGTTGGATAAAGAATGTAATACTGAGTAATATGACTTTTTCTTGAACTATAAAACTTTTTTCAAAGAAGATGAATACACAACATATTTATCACTAATCATAGGATTAAAAATCAGATGAAAAAACAATCTGGAAATCCATTTTTATACAATATCATAGAAACAACATTACATATTAGCCACCAGTCTTCATGATTTTATTAATGTTTATTTTGATTCTTATATATTAAAAGCTTGTATATTTGTTGTATTTATGAATAACATAGATAAACAAATTCTTTTTATACAAGTAATATGGTTTGTGTTAGTTTAACAATTTCATTTAATTCTTCTCGATCAATAAAATTTTTCTCAACTTGTTCGCCCATATCCACACATTTTAAACAAAGGCCAATTATGTGTGTATAAACTTGTATAGTTTCCACTTCACCGAGACGATAGATCAAATATTTCCACAAGAGAGTTGTATAAAAACTTTGTAATTGAAATATGTCATATGACGATATTTCGCAGGCATATACATGAAACACATCGTTCGGTCTTGTTACTGAAAAATGGCTCGAAAATACCATAATAACTAATAACATTTTAGTGAATATTGGTTCTTTCAGAAGCCCACGGTATCTGATCATAAGGTTCCCAAAATCGTTCAACATATGTTCACCAAATATGTATTCCCACAATGCATGAGCCGTACCACTAGCCGGTGGAACAAAATATCCAGAACGAATTGGTTCAGTTGTGTTCAAACGAAGTAAATTTCTAAGATTTCGTTGCACTAATGTCTTTTTTGCTTCATTCGATAGAGATCGAAATTCTGGTATATGTTCAAAAAACGATAATAACGATAATAAATTATCTGAATGGAATTTAAGATATGGCTGCAATTTATATCGTGATTTATATGGCATCATTGATAATGGATGCTCAGTATCCTCGACTTCTTGAATATCTAATCGTCTGGATATCCATTCAAAACAATAGTGATCATATGTATTAGTGACATTTGTCAAATACATCCAACCAATATCGTTCAAATCTGATATATCGCTATTCAATAAATTCAACGGATAAATCTAAAGAAATGTAGAAGAAAAATGCTACTCTTTTCATTCACATACCCAAGAAGGACTCTCAGCATCGGCAAAACCTATTACCATGCTCCATTCTAATTTTTGTCGGTCACAATCTTTAGAAATTTCTCTTTTCTCATAAAGTCACTTATGCTAACTTACTCTCTATTTAAGAGAATGCGCAAAACCACGAAGAAACCTTACTTATCCATCTACGGCATATCTTATAGTTTTTCACTCTACTTTATCGCCAACTAATATACATTGAGGAATAAAGCAAAGCTAAAGAAAATTATCTGTACATTGAGATAACGAAAGCTTTCTTTTGATACAAATTTTTCGCTAGTAACATGCTCAAAGGCCAAAAAAGTCCCTCTTCACAACTCGAAACTCTTTGTAAGATGGATTAAATTACATTCTGACAAAAGCTCAAAAAAAAGTATCATATAGTACCACAAAAAATGAGGAACTGACGAAGAGCCGTTTTAAGTGAAAATCATTTTATTACCAATAGTAGAAAACTTTATTTCAAAATAATTCTGATTCAAATAATTAAAGAATTCATAATCAGCGTGAAAACTGAAGTCAGAAAATGTGTTTTCACGCATTCTGTCAGTGAAATAATTTTTCTAAAAATTGCTCTTCCAGTCCTGGTCAATAACAGAGGGAAACTATCCTAGATTTCTCTGACTTAAACAAAAAGTTTCAAACAGTTTTCTACCTTCTCATTTTGCACAAAGATTTCCATACTCTTTTTGTTTTTATACTACTAAAAAACTTGCGTTTTAACTGTCAAATATTTAATCTAATTTAAAATACCTTTTCTATCTTTATTTCATGACAACCATCTTGTGCACAATTGTCAGATCTACATAACGTTCTTAGTAAGATTAGTTAGGTTACGACGAATGTAAATATTACCAAAACAACACAAAATGATTAGCTTATTTACGAAAAGTCAAAGTATCAAATATTAAGAATGCAGGAAAAACTTAAATTATTACTAAAATATTAAATAATTAAAATTATTAGAGTTCAAGACATGTAAGTTCTGTTTAAATGATTGTACAGCCAAACATAAAAATTTTCATGAGAGTTCAAAGTTTCTAAAGATTAATGGGTATTTATATTTTTCGTCCTTTCAAGTACGACAAATAGTGCGAGATTAGGTCAGTCCTAGTTTTGCATTAACCCGTTTCGTCTTTGATGTTCCGGTTCCATCATTAATTTTTTGCACAAGGTTATATTTAACAAAAACACGTTTTGATGGGAATCTTTTATTAATCGTTACTTGTATTGATAGGCGTTGTTAGTGCACTCATTCTTTAATGTTTTTCACTCCTCTTTCAATTTAAAAATAGCTCATTTTCGAGATAGTTGTGAACTCTATAAACTGCCATGGAATACCAACATTTGGCTGTGGTTTAAACGGAAACTTCATATCATGAGTTTTAATAATTTCAAAGTAAATGACAATTTTCCATCAAAATGCCCCGAACTTTTGGGTAAAACCACTGAAAGATCAGTGGCATCGAAGATACGACTGATTTATGGTACATTTATCATTGGGATTATATCAGATATATTTTTGGACAAAAATGTTTCAATTTGTTATTGGAATCTTAGAAATTTGATATACTGCTGGCTGCTGTTCGGAACTTAAACCACCGAAAATCTTTTTCACTACTCATTACAAAAGCTCTCATCAGGATAAAAGTTCAGCCAGAAAGTATTTATTCTCAGTCACATCCGTAGCAATAGTCCACCTCGGAGTTTAATACATCCAAAAATAAATTACATTTAACTTGAAACAAACGTTACCGCTAATGTTTCTTGTGTATTAGTTGTCTTTTCTCGTCGATCTTGTCTCGCTCGTTTTTGATTCATCTCATGTTCGGTTAAACGTTCCTCGATTTTAATTAAAATCGTCTCTTTGGGCACGCCATTTTCGATACATCGTTTCAATTCACAATAATCACATTGTGTTCTAGAAGCACGTTCATTTGATTTACACCGGCAAGATAACAAGTTCAAAGACTGAAAATAAAACTAGTATAATTTGATCTATATTGAAAATATATCAATAAATAGATTACTTACTGGATCACTAGTTACCTTTCTCTTTAAAAATGACTCTACTTATTTTTAGTATGTTATATGGGTGCGCGGCGGAATATGTCACTAACCTTACATTTCTTTATTAGCCGTCTTTTTCTTTTACCATTGGGATTATGTAAGATATATTTTTTGATATTCATTATTGTAGATATCAAACATTAAGAATGCAGAAAAAACTTAAATTATTATTAAAATATTAAATAATTAAAATTATTAGAATTCAAGACATGTAAGTTCTGTTTAAATGATCGTACAGCCAAACATAAAAATTTTCATGAAAGTTCAAAGTTTCTAAAAATTAATGGGTATTTACATTTTTCGTCCTATCAAGTGCGATAAATAGTGAGAGATCAGGTTAGTCCTAGTTTTGTATTAACCCGTTTTTTCTTTAATGTTCCGGTTCCATCATTAGTTTTTTGCACAAGTTTATATTTAACAAAAATAAGTTTTGATAAGAATTTTTTATCAATCATTACTTGTATTGACAGGCATTGTTAGTGCATTCACTCTTTAATAAACAGAGTTTGTAAAACAGGACTTTTTAGTTGAAATTAGAAATTGAATTTTACAACGACAGACAAACACATGAAAAGAAAATATATGCTTCAACTGGGACTCGAACCCAGGACCCTATGGTAACACCCTTTAACGTTTTTCACTCTTTTCCAATTTAAAAATAGCTTATTTTCTAGATAGTTGTGAGTTCTACAAACTACCATTGAAATCTTACATTTGGCTGTGGTATAAACGGAAACTTCATATTATGAAATTTAATAACTTGAAAGTAAATGACAGTTTTCCATCAGAATACCTCAAACTTTTGGGTAAAACCTATGAAAGATCGATAGCATCGGGACTGCGGATGATTTATGACGCATTTATCATTGGGATTATACTCAAGCACGAAATTTCATAAGAAATAAGCTAACTGTTTTTGTTCAAGGAGTGCCTACTTCTCCGTTGATTGCAGGTAGATAAAAGAATAAATTTAGTGGGTGTAGCTAGCTGCACAGGGACAAACCCTCTAAACCGCTTCAGTGAAATGAAATTTTCATCCTATCAGAAGCTTTTTCTGTCCAGGGGGAAAAACGTTTGAAATGAAATTTTATATACTGTTGTCTCTAGGAGTGACATTTGGACGCAACGACACTTTGACGAAGCTTATTTTTTTACCCTCGAGTATTTATTCTCAGTCACGTCCGTAGCAATAGTCCACCTCGAAATTTAATACATCCAAAAATAAATTACATTTAACTTGAAACAAACGTTACCGCTAATGTTTCTTGTGTATTAGTTGTCTTTTCTCGTCGATCTTGTCTCGCTCGTTTTCGATTCATCTCATGTTCGGTTAAACGTTCCTCGATTTTAATTAAAATCGTCTCTTTGGGCACGCCATTTTCGATACATCGTTTCAATTCACAATAATCACATTGTGTTCTAGAAGCACGTTCATTTGATTTACACCGGCAAGATAACAAGTTCAAAGACTGAAAATAAAACTATTATAATTTGATCTATATTGCAAATATATCAATAAATAGATTACTTACCGGATCACTAATTATCTTTCTCTTTAAAAATGACTTCTTAGGAGGCATGATCTATTTCAAGTTTTACATACACACAACAAGCTATCGTAATTGTCTCTACAACAGTTGAATTTGTTCCATCGCAAAATACAGTTATTAAAAGAGTTTAGTAATATAAATTTGAGCATAGACAGATGAAACTACCATCCAAAATGCGAGAAACAGGAAAAACCGGGCGACTAGTGTTTTGAGGTTAGCCAGCCTAAAACTGAAAATATAATTACCGGATAGTTTTGATCATTACTTTACTTAAAATGTTAAGAAAAAAAGCTTTGAAATTATCTTATATTACATTAATCTGTATATATTATAGGGTCGATAACATGAGATGTTTGTTTTTTTAGTAGTATGAACGTAGTTTTCAACACAGTAGGGAAAAAAGAAACATCTAGTGTTATCGATCCTATAATATATACAGATTAACGTAACATAAGATAATTTAGAAGGTTTTGTTCTTATCATTTTAAGTAAAGTAATGATCAAAGTTATCAGACACGTACATTTTCATTTTTAAACTGAAAACTTATTGCAATTTTTGTCAGTTTCAGCTAACTGCTACTGATGCATATCCACTCGTTACATCGAACATTGTGATGTCCCTTTTATTTTGGAGAGTTTAAACAATCTTTCATTTGGAAGAGCAAAGGCAATTTAATAAACTGGACTACGTTAATCTGAGAAATTAGTAAACTACAGTGGATGCAAATTAAGAAAGCCGGTTCTTCCGAGTTAATTAAACACAAAAATTATTTTATAACAATTGCAAAATTATTGCTACGTGTCATTTTGCCGAGCTGACAACTGTCCAACAAAATCAACACGAAAATTTAGACATAGAAACGACAGTGACTAATAAAATAAATAAAATTTCTAAAATAAAATAACTCTTTTGTTAATCGGATCGCACTTCAAAGCAAAAATTAAAGTTAGATAAATTTTTACTTTTACTGTTTATCTAAAGAAGAGTATGATCTCTCATAATTTACTTTCTTAGAAAAGAGAAAATCAGTCGTCGAATACTTATCAAATCTCTTAATGAAGCAGGATTTCGATTTTAAAATCAAACTTAGTAAAGGTGACTATAAGGTTTTGACTACAGAATGGGATATACATGAACTTGATCTATCTAGTGATGTTTTTTCTGGACGTTATATCACCAACGTGACTTTTTTTAAAGGTTTTCAGCAAAATTATCATAACTCTATTAGAAAAGATGATGGAGGGTTGGGAGACATCTCATTCTGTAGAGATATCTTTACTCTATACGACGGACTGTTTTAAAACTGTTTGTCAAGTACTGGATGAAAGAGAAAAGCGTTTTGAAAGAAAAAAAAATAGGGTTATTTCTGCGTAAGTTACAAACTTTAAAAAAATCGTATCTCCTCAACGGAAATCCCTCAAGAAGTGGGAATGATCTTATTTTGTAGAGGACACTTTACTCTATAATGTACAATATATAATTAAAAAATTAAAAAAAGTGGGGTTACCTTTAGTTTTCTCTGATGGTGCACATTAGAATTCGACAATATATCCGCCACTGGATAGAGCAAGTCTTCCTGTACAATCTCATACATATCCCGTTCTGTAGTGAAAAATTACGGTAAAATATATCGCCGCCTTTGTTTTACGATGTATTCACAGCTGTAAAACAAATTTATTAAGTAGACTTCTGATACATAGCAGGGTAATCATCATTTTACATTGTCTTTTACTTACAATTGGTAGTAAAAAACTATTCATTCGAATATAAATTGTTCCTCAAACATTCTCGCTAATCCCTTGAAAAAGATCGGATTAGTAAACCAAAAAAATTGATCCCTATTCTTCCATATTGAAAATCAATTTTAAGAATCTGAAACTGATGATTATAGTGTTAAAAAACGATACTTTAGTGCATACAAAAGATCTTCTGAAAGAACCCACAAGAGGCGTAAGTCAATCAATTTTTTATCGTTTAAACGAATTCAATAAAGTTAGATCATTCTACTAAGAGCTAAACTAAATTAGGAAAAAATTCAGAGAAGACTTTTGAATGATTTATCAGTTTTACTCAATCGTACTGAAAGTAATTCTAAAGAGTTTGAGAAAATATGGTCAGAAACTAAAAGACTATACTATCAACTAATGTACAAATGAATTCCAATAGATTCATTCATTTTCGGAATAAAAACCTTAGATTTCTTTACACTTTCATAGCTTTGATGTTCGCTGGAACAAAATAAGAGAGTAGGATATTTTGTGCTATTTTAACGCTGTCAACAGAAAAAAGGCTAAACTTATCGTCAAAAATCTCTTCTAATTTACGTGGACGTTTTATTATTGTTATAAAGGAATTCTTGCTCGTACAATAGACTAACAAAGATGGGAAATGTAAGAAAATGTATTTACAATTTCTTATATTTTACATTCTTTCTCAGTTGACCAGAAGAAAATTCTCTTCTGGTCAACTGAGAAAGTAAGAAATTGTAAATACATTTTCTTATATTTCCCATCTTTGTTAGATGTCTAATAGTCAAAAAAAATAAAATCATGTCCAGAAAATACTTCACACTGTATAAATAATTCACGTGTTTAACTACAAGTGCACACTGTTCTAAAGTGTAAAAAATAGAGAACAACCTTATTTTTCTGTTCTATCAATGTATTCATCCGTTAGACAGAACGAAAGAAGTTGCACATGTTTTAACCTTGACGAGCACGCGTCTTTCTTACATATTAAAAATGACAGACACCAGTCAACATTCAGTTCTAGATGTCTGGACTGTTTCTGAAATCAGTATTTTTCAGTCAAGAATCTAATTAAGTCTTGAAATTTCAGCCATGATCTTTTAAAATAAATGATGGATTACGCTATTCTCTACACAAACATAGTAACGGTTGAGTTGACAATATAATCGAGTTGCACGACTTTATATCATACCGGTAGACGTTTCATATGATTGGTATTTCAAAAGTTCGGTATTTTAAAACTGTATTTTATCGTCCATAGCCCGTTCGATGCCCTAAATAATCCATCTGCTAAACTCGACATTTTCTGCTTCGCAGCTCAGAAGTAATTTCAGTATGATGAACGTTCAAAAATTAGTTTAAAAAGGTTAACCTGGCAACTTTTGTAATTGTGACAGTTTGAGAAAACTGAGTTATAACGCACTATGACTCTCAAGGAATCAGGACTGAAGAGATAAGAATTAAGAAACAGCTCAGATGATCAAGAAAGTGTTTCATAACTGGAATCATTGTACAGGCAATTCCAGTCAAAGAAACTAGTACGTTTTTCAGGACTGGAAATAAACTTGACAGGGATTCCAGTTCTTATACATTTCAATGTGCTCTGATTTAGGACCACAAAAGATAAAAACTCAGAATCAGCTCAGACCTATGCATGTGACCAATGGAGTATATAAATGTAGCTCTTTCTTCTCTTTTTTTTCTGTTACAGACAAAAATGTTTTGTTATGTACTTTCAACTGCTTATTATATTTTGCTAAGCGTTTCAGTAATAAGAAAAAGGTAATGTACAGCTCTAAAATTAACGTTAAACTGAACAGTGTAATAAACATGTAATACAATATAAGAGGGGCGGTTGTAACCTTCGACATTATTCAAAACCGCCTAAAACTACACCCGAATTTCCTAATAGACGTCTACAGCGGTAGAACTTTAGAAATTTTCAAAATCTTGTACGAAAGATAAGAGTGTACATCTCAGAGAAACTGACCAAGAACACCTCTAAAACAGCCTAGCACTAGTCTATTATTATATAGAAAACACACACAAATGTGTCTGGAAGGCTCCTGCTTCATATGACACTAACTTCCCAACCCAACTTTTTAGATCTATTACTATAATAGATCTACAATCCTAGTGATTGATTCTTACAAAAGAATCTGTGAGAAATCTGATAAGGAACTTATGAGAATCTAATATGGCTCGCATAAGAATCTTATTGAATTATTTTTGCACAAGAAAGTCCACAAGTGACAAGAATCCGATAAAAAAGTAGATAAGTATCAGTTAAGAATACTATAAGAATTCGACAAGAAAAGGGTAAGAACTGACACAAACGTCCAATGTGTCCAACGTCTAATTCCTTCTTTAGTTCATTAGTGTGTGTGTAAGAGGTCGCGTGGCATTCTCAAAACGATCAGTCTGACCTGCCTTGAAGAAACTTTGAAAAAATTTCCAAGAAAGCATTGATGCTTATATTTAGTATGTACTTCTGCAAAATAAAACGGCATCTGGCTTTTAGTAAGAATTTCATAATAAAGTGATAAGAGCGCCTTATCAAAGTCATTCTTATTTAAATCTTACCTGATTCTTATCGGATTCGTGTAGAGCCCCGAGTAGAGAGACGTTTGATTTCCAGCTCTAGGCATTCCGCAGCACTGCACGTATTTTCGTTAAAAAATATAAACACAGCAAAATGTCAAAATTTCGTCACAGAATTTCACTCCGGTACAGGGTTTTCGATTAGTTTTAATCAGGGTGGGAAGCATTCTTTGGTCAGACAGTCTTTTTAAAAAGTCGGCGGACAGTTTTTTCCTAAACGGAACTTAAAACACTGTCTGCCAGTTATTTTGGCGACCAGTATCAAAATTTAGGGTGGAGAGGTGCCCCACTTTCCCGCCTTATCGACCCTGCTCCGTTAGCAGAGTTATCTGACCGTGCAGTATAATGTTTTTTCTTTAATCTCTTGCTAGTGTAGTTTCGTTCTAGTTTTACAATTAGAAACAAAATAGAAATTTTATAGGCACGATAGGAAGCACAGTGTTTGTTGTCTTTACGATGGAAAACACAACAGATTTCTTGCTTCAAAAACACTGGCTGTGACAGTGAAAAGACTTCCAGAAAAAATTCCATTTCAACTTCACCCACTGTGTTTCAGAATAAAATCGGAAAATCCGCTTTTGGTATCCTATGCAAAATGGAAAAATGTATCATTAAAAACACTGATAAAACAGTTCAGATGTCCGTAAAGGAATTCGGGTGTAGTTAGTTTTATGCAGTAATGAATTATGTCGTAGATTACAACTATCTATATAAAAGTAATCAAAATGGAGACTGAAAACATCATATCATTCAAAGTATATATTACTGTGTAATTCTTTCTTTACCTGATCCGTTAAGTTATATATTATCCTGTTCCCGTGACTGTATTATTACTATCTTTAACTATCACATTCTTCTCTTTTATCGTCTACTAATTTTGTTATAGTCTATTCCAGATTTTTCTTTTATGCGTTCGTGAACTGCTGGATTCCATTTTCATATTCTACTATTGTACGACTTGTTAACCAATGAGTACAACGATGTAACCCCCTTCTGACAAATGCGTTTCATGGTAGTCAAGAATTTCTCATCTATCTGTTTCTAGCCCTGTTACACATTTTCTATCTTGTTTTATCCGTCTATAAACTATTTCACTTTCGTCTATATACACATCTCCACAGTCGTAATGTATACAATAGATGGCGCTATCGTCTAGTATACTTTTTATGAGCATATCCTTATTAAACGTCCGTCCTACTGTAATTTATCTGGTTGTCTTTAACCCTTCAATTTTCGAACTGTTGGTGAATCAAATTAGATGAAACATGGTATAAACTATATAAGAAGATATTTATAGAAACTATTTCGGGGCAAATCCCAGTAATGCCTGATATTTCGCGAAAATAGATATCAACAAAATACATGAGCAATTAGTGAAACACACGAGATTTTAGCGAAACAGCCGAGAAATCAGTAGAATGCGTCAGTAGAAGCAGCCGAGAAATCAGTAGAATGCGTCAGTAGAAGCAGTTCACGAACGCATAAATGCGTAGAAATCACCAAAATACGCGAGATATTAGCACTAAAACGTGAGATTTTAGTGAATACTCTAGATATTAGTGAAATACGCCAGATATCAGTATAAAATGGTGAGATTTTAGTGAATCCGCGAGATATCAGTATATTTTTCTATATATTTGAATACCACTGGATTTTAGTGAGTACACGAGATATTAGTGAAATACGCGAGATATTTGTACTAAAAAGTGAGACTTGAGTGAATAAATGAGATATTATCAAATTTTTCTACATATTTGAATACTACGAGACTTTAGTAAAACACACGAGATATTAGGGAAATACACCAGATATCGGTATAAAAATTTGCTAATATCTGGTGTACTCACTAAAATCTCACCTTTTAGTGCTAATATCTCGCGTATTCTACTAAAAGCTCGTGGTATTCAAATAGCCGGAAAGATTTGCTAATATCTGGTGTATTCACTAAAATCTCACCTTTTAGTGCTAATATCTCGTGTATTTCACTGATATCTGGTGTATTCACTAAAATCTCGTGTGTTCAGTAAAATGTCACCTTTTGCTACTAATAGCTTGTGCATGTTAGTAATGTTTGAGTCATCGGGCTGATGTTTTGGCCGTTTCTCTAAAATCTCGTGTGTTTCGCTAATATCTCGTGTATTTTGTTGATATCTATTTTCGCGAGATATCAGGCATCCCTCGTAAATCCATCTGAAGTGTGCCACGTTTTACTAAAGTTTTTCCGCTTCATTTAAGATCAACGTAGTTTTCGGCAAACCGCTTAAGATTATTATTATTGAGCGGGACATGACCATATTCTCTACAACTTTGAAGAATGTACCATGTGAGCTTCACGAGATATTCAGAGCTCTTAAAAATGAAGTATGCTTGAGGGTGATGAAGATTGAACTCTCAATCGAAACGTTTGGAATATAATAAAAATAAAGTTGGTACGAAGAAAAAGTACTTATTCAAAAATTAAAAAATTAAAAAATAGGATCTAACTTCGTATTCATATCGAC